TAATACCCAACACAATATAATACCCAACAAAAACACAATATGATACCCAACAAAAACACAATATGATACCCAACAAAAACACAATATAATACCCAACAAAAAACACAATATAATACCCAACAAAAACACAATATGATACCCAACAAAAACACAATATGATACCCAACAAAAACACAATATAATACCCAACAAAAACACAATATAATACCCAACAAAAACACAATATGATACCCAACAAAAACACAATATGATACCCAACAAAAACACAGTATGATACCCAGCAAAAACACAATATAATACCAAAAACAAAAACACAATATGATACCCAACAAAAACACATATGATACCCAACAAAAACAAAAACACAATATGATACCCAACAAAAACACAATATAATACCCAACAAAAACACAATATGATACCCAACAAAAACACAATATGATACCCAACAAAAACACAATATGATACCCAACAAAAACACAATATGATACCCAACAAAAAAAACACAAAATATGATACCCAACAAAAACACAATATGATACCCCCAACACAAAAAACACAATATAATACCCAACAAAACACAATATGATACCCATCAAAAACACAATATGATACCCCAACAAAAACACAATATGATACCCAACAAAAACACAATATGATACCCAACAAAAACACAATATAATACCCAATTGTTTGCTAAAATATAAAATATGATGATACGGCAAGTAAATAGCTATCTAACATGTCATGCTTTAAATTGCGCACGCTCATGGAATGGCACTACACTACAGTACCTAAAAATCTCCATAGGCGATGCTGTAAAAGCCTTTACAGGTTACCAGTGTAGAGTTACACAGGAGGTTTGGTGGTAGAATTATTGCTCTTGCTATGCGTTCACGGTGATACCTCACATTTGTGATGCAATTGCCATTTACTTATGTGTGCACAATATATGTGTCTGTTCGCTTTTGACAAAGCGCAACTGCGCTGTAAGAGAATCCCGGTGAGACGATTGGCAAATAGAAGTGTGCATGCCCAAAGAAATGCGCGATCGCGCACACAACCACAGTGCACACACACGGTGAACATTGGCGCTAGACGGACTATTTAAAAGGTGCCTCTGCCTGTGCTGACTGCTTACTGGTCTTCAGCTGTTCCCCATTTCCTGCTTGTTCCTGTGTGATTTCCTTGTTGCTGACCCAGCTTGTCCCTGACCTGACTCTGATTACTCTCCTGCTTGATACTTGTTCCTGACTTCGGCTCTGCTCCTGACTTAGGCTTGCTTATGATCCGGTACCTCTCTGTCCGCCCGTTGATGACCCCGGCTATTCCTATGTCATTGCTCCTATCTCCCATCCCAGCTTCCTGTCTTACTCTGGTGCATACCTGGTGACCTACCATACCAGCTCTGCATATCACTACTGTTCCTGAATCGGAGGTTCATCAGTCTTCCAAAGTCTCCAACTGCAAGAGCTGCAAACAACATATGCTGGCACTCTTGTCCCCCTGGTCCTTAGACACCCTCTGTTCCACTTCCAGTGGGGTCAGGGCTAGTGACACAAGTGAGGCCGACCTCGTCATTTCAGTCTCCAATCAGGTACATGACATGCGCGAAACATGTCATCTTGGTAACCCTGCATACGCTCCCAGCTGAAGCCGACTCCGGACACTGCTTTCTGCCCTTTGCTTGCCGGGATGATGCTACCCGGGATGCCGAGACGCTGACACCACGTGATTCGTAGCCGACAGGAGTGTTCTCTGATCTCAGCTCCCTTCAGAGCGGACGGGCTGTCCGTTGGACTCACACTGTTCACTTCAGGCTGGTCAAATTTTATTATACAGTGAAAGTTAGTTCTGATAGTTCTGAAAGTTGCACAAAAAATCCGATAGGCTAATTGTACCCAAGTTGATTGATTGATCGACTTGGGTACAACCAGCCTGCCCATAGATGGATAGAATCTTGGTCAGTCCCTCTTGAACTGGCCGACATTCAATCCATCTATGGTTGGCTTTAGTCTTGTAAGTTTTCACTGTCTTGTAAGAGTGGCAAATGTCAGAAAGTCTTGTAACATTTGCTACATAAAATGCAATGCATGTTATAGAGAATAGGCTTTATTAGATAATTCTGCTTGAGGTGATTGTAGCCGTATTAGTGCATTTGCGACAGAAACAATTGAGTACTCTCCGTGATACTTTTTTTTATTTGCACTAACATACAATTTTGAGGACAAGCTTTCGGGGTATGTCCCCTTCTTCAAAGTACTATTACAAATCACAAAGTTTAAGCAGAATGTTAGAAGGGATGAAAAAAAAAAAAGGCTACAGATAAGATACAGCAAAAGCGAGGGGGGGGGGGGAGGGGGGGGATACTACACTCACACAGAGGGAGTCAAGCTTCAGCTAATAGTCATAAAACTGTTGGATAATGGTTGAGGAATCCCATGTCCAAGTTAAGGCCGTTATCTCTTGTGTCAAATAGAATTATCATTCTTAGTTCAAAGTTTTTCTTTCCTGAATGGATTTGAATTTTCCTTTCAGAACTAAAACATTGAGGTCTCCCATTGTGTGGCCTGGTTGTGTGAAATGATGTCCTACAGGTGTGCAGAGGTCATCTTCCTTATGTTCCTTGATGGTATGTCTGTGCAAATTCATCCTTGTTTGCAACTTCTGTCCTGTTTCGCCAACATAAGATCCTTTGCTACATTTTCTGCACTGGATAAGGTACACAACATTACTGGAGTATCTTAGATAATTCTAAAATCCAAAATCCACCTTCTTAGAATGGGCGAATGTTACATCCTATGACGATGCATGTTTGTTATAAACTAAGTGAATGATTTCTTGATGAATCTAGTATGAATCTAGTGTGAATTTTTCGTGAATCAGTGCAAGCAGTATATTGGCCTTTCAGCTGAATTGCAGCACTGATGCAATTTGAGTAGATGTCTCATTGTCTGCTGTTCTTGGTGAGACAGCTACCTGCTTGTTGATAACCTCAACAAGAAATGCTGGGGCATGACCTTAAGAGAGCGATTCACACCAGACATCCCAAGAATATTGCTACACTGAAACAGTTTTGTGAAGAGGAGTGGTCCAAAATGACTCCAGATCGTTGTGCAGGTCTGATCTGCAACTACAGGAAACGTTTGGTTGAGGTTATTGCTGCCAAAGGAGGGTCAACCTTTTATTAAGTCCAAAGGTTCACATACTTTTTCCTCCCTGCACTGTGAATGTTTACATGTTTTGTGCAATTAAACCATGGCAACATCTAATGTTTGTGTAGTATTATGTTCAGCAGACTGTGTTCTTCTATTGTTGTGACTTAGATGACGTTCAGAGCACATTTTATGCCCAATTCATGCAAAACTCCACGTAATCCCAAGGGGTTCACATACTTTTTCTTGCAACTGTAAGTAGCCACTACTGTATAAAATGCATGTGGGTCATGTGTATACATGTGTGTGGGTCATGTGTATACTCTAATAGGTAGTACTTTTTTCTTTTAAAATATTTAGTAAGAAATTCCTTTTGTCTACTATTCTACCTAAATATTTTTTCTCTGAAAAGAACACATTGGAAAGTGACACCAGATGTTTTCCCTAGAAGCAACCATCTAAGAATGACTTTCAGCTTCCCGAGATAAAAGAAAAAATGCAAGATATTTTTCTAATGAGCTTTTGAGCCTTATTTAATTTTTTACAGAATCAGACCCACGGGCGGATTTTGTTTAGAGTTAATCTTGCAAAGGGATTGTGCAACCCATAGTGATATGCATGTTATAAAGGATTGGAAGAAAAAAATAGCAGGAAATCTGTAGTGCCTTAAGGCGATTTTAAAAGGGAAGCATTAGGGATGGTAGGTAGGAGCACTAAAATCAGAATAAAAGTAACTGTCTGCCAAACCAAAGAAATCCAGTAGCACTCTAGTTCTAAGTCATGTGACCGAATGCCATGAATACAGTGAATTAAGACTTTGCTGACATCAGCATGCACATGGCAGAGTTTCTGTAGCCCATACAACTTGAAAGTGAAGCTCTGTGGGACCTACTTGTCACAGAACACAGACATGTTTATGCAGATTCTAACATTTTAACCACTTCCCGACCGGCCGTTGTATATAAACGGCCGGACGGTGGCACTGCAGGGTCGGGTGGCCATTTATAAATGGCCTCCCGCACCCTGCTTGTGCGTGCTCCCTGGGATCTGGTGCCCGCTGTGTCCTCTGGACACAGTGAAACACCGATCGTCGGACGGGACCTCTGTACGAGGTCCCGATCATGTGATCACTGATTGGCCAATCAGTGATCACATGCAAAGTAAGTAAGCAAGATGTCACTTGCTTACTACGTGTGAAATCTGTGAATGACCACAGAGGTCACATGGTACAAGGCTATTCACAACAGCCTTGTACCATGTGACAAGCTGTGACCAATCACAGCTCACTCAGCAGTTCTCAATGGCTGCAAGAATGCAGATAGAGAGAAAGAGAAATGATTGCTTTTTACATCCTATATGGGTGTAAAAGCAATCAGTGTAAAAAAACAAAAATCTTCATCACCCCCAAAAGTAGTACAGTGTCACCATGCTAAATTTTGTAAATAAGTGATTTTTTTCTCCTTCACTGATGTGCGCTAATGAGGCTGCAGTGATGGGCACTGATAGGCTGCACTGATGGACACTGATAGGTGGCACTGGTGGGCACTGATGAGGAGGCACTGGTAGGTTGCACTGATGGCCATGGACAGGCATCACTGATGGGCACTGAAAGGCAGTACTGATACATGACACTGATAGGTGGCACTGAGAGCAGCACTGACTGGCACTGAGAGGCGGCACTGACTGACACTGTTAGGCAGCACTGACTGGCACTGATAGGTGGCACTGACTGGCACTGAGAGGCGACACTGATGCGCACTGATAGGCGACACTGACTGGCACTGATAGGTGGCACTGATTGGCATTGATAGGTGGCACTGACTGGCACTGATGGGTGACATTGAAAGGCAGCTCAGATGGGCACTGATATGTGGCATTGATGTGCACTGGTATGCACTGATATGTGGCATTGATGGGGCACTGGCACGTGGCACTGATGAGTACTGACTGCTGGCACTGATGGACACTGACAGGTGGCACTTCTGGGGCCACACTGATCATCAGGGCACACTGATCATCAGTACCCTGATGATCAGTGTACATGTCCCCTCCGCGGAAAGCCGATTACCGGCTCTCCTCTGTCAGCATGACAGCTCGAGAGGAGAGAAATGCCGATAACCGGCATTTCCGTGTTTACATGTGATCAGCTGTGATTGGACACAGCTGATCACATGACCGAGCCGACATCTTCAGCTCTTTCTGTGATTCGCTGTGTCAGAGGGACACAGCGCACCGGCGATCGCCACGCTGCACACACTCCCTGAGCTGCACATGCGCGGTGAGAATGGAAGGATGTCATATGACATCCTATCAGAACGAGAGAACCACCTTGCGCCCATCATTGGACTATATGGCGGGCGGAAGGTGGTTAAAATTGTATTTTTTATTACAAATGGAATAACAAGAACTGTGTATGTTAAGAACATTGTATCTATACATGAGAACAGGTAACCATCTCCCTTTCCCTCATAATAATGTAAAAACTTCCTGCCAATAGGCATTTTCAGTTATTGACAATGCTGATCCAGAAGTATATATTGCTCTTGCAAGAGCTTGATCAATGTTCTCCTGATTTTCAGGCATCATTTTATCTATAAAATAAGAGATTGTATATTTTGGGGAAACACTGGTTTGCCACATTTCCTTACTTGAAGATGCTGCTGGTGAAGAAACACTGATGATCCAGAAGCAGCAGAAAGAGTGTTTCCAAAATTAGAGCTCTGGAGGTAAAAGCTACAGTACTTATACTTCCATTCTGGTCCTCATCATTTATTCCATAAAGTACTTTTTTAATGTCTTTAGGGTATCTCTGGCATACAAGGATGTGTTTTGTCATCCTCGTAACATTTGGAAAATAATATTTCTGCTCACAATATTTGCAAATTTCAGCTTTACTCTCAGCAGCAATTGCACTGTGAAAATATTTCCAAACTCTAGATATGGTCTCATCATTTACTAAGGGCTCGTTCACACTAGGCTGTTTTGCCAACGCTTGCCAAATGCCCCTATAGCTTTTGGCAAGCGTTGGTCCGGCGTTTGCGGAGCGTTATTAACGCTCGGCAAACGCTCCGCAAACGCCGCATGCGCGGTTTAGCGGCGGTTGCTAGGCGTTTGCCGAGCGTTAATGAATGGGAATATCCTCCTGCGCTTGGTATGGGTGAGTCCCTATCCTAAACAGCTGCTATCACTCTGCCTTAACCAATAGGTGATAAAGTAACAAACACAAAAATAGTGAAGCGCTAAAACGAATCCCTACATACGCACACAGTGCATATAATATTAAATGAAAACCATACCTCATAAGTAAAATATATCCGTGACATAAAAAATGTGTCAATAGAAAACCAAATAAAATATTTTCCTTGCCCCTAAATTATTTCTTTAAATCATACATTGGTAAAAAATAGAAAATCCATGATAATACGAATAAACAGTGATGAAAAAATATATATATAAAAAACTGTGTTAATTAATATATATATAAATATATATGTGATAATACCAATAATAAATGTGACACCTAACAGAATAAAAGCATATAAATAGTGAATCTCAATCAAATATACGTGATTGTTGTGAAAAAATTATGCTATTACATAAAAAATCCACTAAAACTTGTGATGTTTAGATATAAAAAAGTGTCCCATAAATGAACAAACACAGTCCATGCAGTAAGGTAATAACGACACTCAGTGTTCTTCACTTCTAGTGCTCATAAAAAAGACAGGGAAGAAATCCTCCAATGGCAGCAATGCCTGCTCACCTCCCCAACTCGACCCGCAAAGGGCCACAAGGCTATATCTCTCCTCCAGGTAATCCTTTGCTTCCAAGCAGCTCAGTAAGGAATCAACAGGACCTCCTCTCCACCTCCTCTCAAACGTCATATAGGACACAAAACAGAGCTTCCCATAGTGTAATACCATTTATTTCAGACACTCCATATAGCAAAAAAGTTTCCACTCACATGCGTTTTGTTAGTAAAATGCAGTCCTCCTCATTGCCGAGCGTTTAATAACGCCCCACAAACGCCTATAATGCAGTTTGAGTGGTGTTACCGCTCCGCAAAACGCCCCGCAAACCGCGTCGCAACCGCACCGCAAACGCCGGCCGGGCGTTTGCAGAGCGGCACCATAGACGAGATAGGAGGCTTCAAAGCCTCCTGACTCGTCCAGAGGCGTCCGTTTTGCCGCAACGCAACGCGACGCAAACGCTCCCGTTAGAACAGCACCATGTGCTGTAATGTGCAGAATTGGCAGAGGCGTTTGGGAAGCGCTAAAAACGCTTCCCAAACGCCCTCTCTGCTGCCTGCACACAACGCTAGTGTGAACGTTAAGCCTTAGAGATGAAAATAAAAACATTTGCTGACCAGCCTATTGTAAGCATTATGCATTATGCTGGGATGGTGGAGAACATTAATCAGTTAAAGCTAAAAAAGTTAAACTAGTTTGTCAGAAAAATTTTACCCTCTTACCTGTCAATTAACCACTTCCTGTCCGGACACTTTTACCCCCCTTCCTGACCAGGGCAATTTTCAGCTTTCAGCACTATCACAATTTGAATGACAATTGCGCGGTCATGCAACACTGTACCCATATGAATTTTTTACCAATTTTTTGACACAGATAAAGCTTTATTTTGGTGGTATTTATTCACCGCGGGGATTTTTATTTTTTTTGCTATGTAAATGAAAATGTCCAAAAATTTTTTGAAAAAAAGTGTTTTTTTTAATAAAATTTTGCAAATAAATAATATTTCATCTTAAATCTTTGCCAAAATTTATTCTGTTATCTTTTTTAGTAAAAAAAAAAATCCAAATTAGTTTATAACCAAAAATTATAATTTTTAAATATTTATTTTTTACATTTTTATTTATTTTTTTTATATTATTTTTTTTTTTTTTACATACTGTCACCCTAGCAGTACAGTGTCTGTACTACTTGTGGGGGGTGATGACTTTTTTTTTTTTACACTGATTCCTTTTACACCCATATAGGATGTAAAAGCAATCATTTCTCTTTCTCTCTGTCTGCATTCTTGCACTCATTGAGAAATACTGTGTGAGCTGGTGATTGGTCACAGCTTGTCACATGGTACAAGGCTGTTTGTGAATAGCCTTGTACCATGTGACCTCTGTGATCATTCACAGATTTCACACGTAGTAAGCAATGCTTACTACTACTTTGCATGTGATCACTGATTGGCCAATCAGTGATCACATGATCAGGACCTCGTACAGAGGTTCCCGTCCGACGATCTGTGTTTCACTGTGTCCGGAGGACACAGCGGGCACCGGATCGCTGTGTGCTGCGCGCTCCCAGGGAGCGCGCACAAGCAGGGTGCGGGAAGGCCGTTTATAAAGGGCCACCCGACCCTGCACTGCCACCGTCCGGCCATTTATATGCATAAGGCCTGAGAGGAGGACAGAAACTATCATCTACTGTATCCCAGCAATCACCCAACTGTAGCAGGTACAAGATGGGGCCCACAAACAAACTAAACTGGAGCCTTTCCCCTATAGTGCCCCCTTGGCAGAAATTTACATTTCTCGTTTGAGAAATGTATTGAGAAGTACAGTGTTACTTGAATTGTATTCCAGAAATTGCTTGTCTTCAGCCAAGAGAACTTTCAATAATTTAGTATAAAGTCTCAGAAATCTTTAATTAAGGTCTTCTTGTTATAAAGTTTGAATACCAGGACATCATAGATATATTACCTACCCTTGTAAAAGACACATTTTCTCTTTTTTCCAATTTTTCCAGAAAAAAAACAAAAAACGGCTTTGAAAAAAACCTTTTTTCTTGTTTTTTTTTTCGGGGGGGGGGGGGGGGTTTTTAAGCCTTCCCATCTCCAGTTGTACCTCCTGTCAGATTGTTTATCACCATCTGTGTCCCATTGCAAACATTTCTGTTCACTTTCTGTCCCATAGCCAAAACAGGAAGTAAGAGGAAATCCCTGCAAATTAAGGGAAATCCTCGGGGGACCCCCAGGTGATTAGAACTAGTGTCTCCATTGGAAAATTATCCCCTCTATTAGTATACTGGGGACCACCCAAAAATTGGGATTTTCTTTTACTTTCACTTTCAATGATAATGATAAAAAAAAAAAGACAGGGCAAATCTCCTTAACGGGGACACAGCAAGAAAAACTGACCAGTTTTCTAATTCCATTCTCCATTCTTTCCAAAACTAAAAAAAAAAATTGTCATTAGGTATAGATTAAAGCTCACAGGAACTAATAAATAGTTAATTGCAGATTAATTGGTTAATGTGCCACAATGGGCAGAAAAATGTATTATAAAAAATATTATGCAAGACCATACTTGGTTAATTTAGTGCAAGGAATTTCAAGCATTGGAAAGGTTATAATTTAGTATAAAGTCTCAGAAATCTTTAATTAAGGTCTTCCTGTTATAAAGTCTGAATACCAGGACATAGATATATCCAAAACCGAGCTCCTGGTCTCCCTCCCCCCCCATCCTCTCCATCACTACTAACAACACCACCATCTCTCCCACCCCACATGCCACAGTTTCTGGGTGTCACCCTGGACTCCCTCCTCTCCTTCCTACCCCACATCCAACTGCTATCTAGATCATGCAGGCTCCACCTCCGCAACATCTCCAAGATACGCACATTCCTCACCCCAGACACCACCAAACAACTCGTACACTCCCTCATCATCTCACGCCTGGACTACTGCAACTCCCTCCTCACTGGCCTACCCAAACGAACGTTATCCCCACTCCAGTCTATCCTGAACTCAGCGGCTAGACTCATCCACCTCACCAACCGCTCCACATCTGCTCCCCCCTCTGCCAATCCCTTCACTGGCTCCCGATTGCCCAACGCATCAAATTCAAACTGCTAACTCTGACCTACAAAGCCATTCACAACGCCACCCTGAACTACATAACTGGACCTGATACCCAAATACTACCCTCCCCGTGCCCTTCGCTCCTCACAGGACCTCCTACTCTCTAGCTCCCTGGTCTCCTCCTCCCACGCTCCGATTACAGGACTTCTCCAGGACTTCCCCCATCCTCTGGAACTCCCTACCCCAATCCATCAGACTGTCACCTACCTTCCTCACCTTCAGGCGCACCCTGAAAACCCTCCTCTTCAGGGAAGCCTACCCCACCCTCACCTAACAACCGATCTCCTCCACCTTC